TTAATAATATATTATAAGTTAGAAATACAATAATATAAATTTTTACATTTATTTATAATTGGTTTATATAAAAAATTATAAAAATTGATGTTTACATAGATGATTTTAATTGATTAATTAATTAATTTAAGTCAACCTTTATAATTTTTTTATATAAATTAATTAAAAAATTACTTTTATTGTATTTTTACATGTGAAGAAATCTATTAATATATTTCAAATTAGAAGTTAAAAGCAATAAAATTACATTTTAACACCCACAAGATTTGAACTTACATTTCCTCTGTATAATAAGGGACAAGGGATAGCAACAAACTAGTAAAACCACTGCATGTGGTGTGTCAGACTATTGCATAACATTATATTTATTCATATTCAATTGAACCAATGGTTTGAACGATTGAATTGGTTAAACCAATCAAACTAGACACTGAAGGTCAAAATGGTTTGACCTCTGGGTTGATTTTCAAAACACTACTCTATTCTTGATGATAACCTCATAACCTTTCTTTTGTAATTGACCAATACTTAGTAGATTAGTCTTCAATTCTAGAACATAAAGGACATTAGAAATTGTTTGAGTAGCATTACCCCTGATTTGAATGGTCACCTATCCTTTTCCCATGACTAAGACTTGAGAATTGTCTCCAAACTTCACATTATCTCTGAAAGATTCATCCAAGGTAGAGAAAGCTGCCTTATCTCCACACATATGATTACTACAACCAGTGTCTAGATACCATAGATTCTTGTTAGTTTCCTTTCTAACTTGACATACCATCAGCAAGGATATTTCCTCTTCAATTTATGCAAAATTTGATTTTTCTCCTTCGTCATTAGGCAAATTAGCTTGACATTCAGACTTGTAATGCCTATACTTGTGGCATCGAAAGCACTCCACTTTAGACTTGTCTGTTGACTTTGGTCTATAGGAAGTTTGAGATCTGCCACACCCTTTTCCTCTTCCTCCAAAAAACTGAATCTGCTGATTTCTTCCTCCAAAAAACTGAGTCTGCTAATTTCTTCCTTTACCTCTGCCTCTTCCTCTGTTTAATCTATCTGAAAATGAAGAAGAGGTGCCAATTATGGCCTTCAAAGCTTGCTCATTCTGTTCTTATCGATTTAGCTTCTTTTCATGCAACAGTAATGAACTCTGCAAATCATCTAGTGTCAATGCATCAAGATCATAAGACTCCTCTATAGAACAGACAATATAATTAAATTTTGGTGTCATGGATTAAAGCATTTCCTCCACAACAACAATGTCTTGTTTCATGTCATCGAGGATTCGCAACTTGTTGACAATTGCCATTGTCCTTGAAAAATAGTCTGTCATAGACTCTCCTTCTTTCATTTGAAGTGTTTCGAACTCCGAATGAAGTGCTTGTAGTTGCTGCCTCTTTGTCCTTGTTGATCCCTAATACTTCTTCTTCATGGAGTCCCAAATTTGCTTGGCACTATCCTTGCAAAGAATAGTTTCCAAGATTGTTCAGTCAATCTCTTGGAAAAGATAATTTTTAGCCTTGAGATCCTTCAATTTCGAAGCCTCCAATTCTACTTTTTGGGCTTTTGACATCCCAGTGGTTGGTTCTGCTACGCCAAATTCAACCATAGTCTAATACTTCTTGGATCTCAATAAGTTCTCCATCAACATGCCCCAATGATCATAGTGACCTTCAAAGCGAGGAATTGCAGGCTGCACAAAGGTTTCAGACGCCATTAGCTGTTGTTGTTGCTGTGTTTGGTCCCCTCAATGTACCAAGCTTTGATACCAAATGTAGAGAAAATAGAGTTGAACAAAAAGCTTCAAGTTGAATATTCTTTGAGGAATTAAATCAAACACTTGTTGGGCATAAACAGTTTGAGCAAGTGAAAGGAATTGAAAGATAGTAAACTCAAGCTAATTGGAAGAGGAAAAAAAGGTCCTGAATATCTCATTCAATAGATAGAAAAATGACTCATACATAAAATGCAGAACTGCAACTGAATTAAACAATAAAATAGCACCACTAAGCTACTAAAACCACTAAACTACAAATAAGATATGCACTATCAAAAATGGAAAACACAATTGCACGTACCCAACAAATTCCTAAAGAATAGGATAATAAAAAACAAATAATATAAGACTTATTCAACAATATAGAAAAGGAAGAGGGTGAAGAACTGAAGATGTAGAAAGAAAGAGAAACAGGGAATGGAGAGAAATGAGATCTGGAGGCTGGTGGAAGAAGATAACTAAGGGCATTAATGTAATTTCAAAATTTTTTATTTTTTAATACTATTTCAATCTAGTCTATGTCATCTAATTTAAAAACTCTTACATAAATTACAAAATATCAATTCACTTATTTAGTTTTCACCTAATATTCAAAATTGAAAAAAAATTAAATTAATTAATGATAAACTTTACTATGTCAGCATTTAATTGAAGGAAGGATGAAATTGGTATTGAAAATTAAAATTCAATGATAATTTTGATATTTTTTAAAGTTTAACAATAAATATAATATAAATTTAAAAGTTGAGAAACCAAATTGATATTTATATTTTTTTTTCTGCCGTCGGAGTCGTAAAGCTACATGGTTAAGTTCCTTTTTTTAAAAATAACATTCTTCAAATTTCCATTACTGTCATTTCATTTTCGATTCTTATCTTTTGCTTCTTTTTTTTTTTTTTTTTAAATATGAATAATGATATCAGAGACAAATTTTATAAGATTAAAGTATAAGATCAATTATATAAGTTATATTATTTAAAATATTAAAAAATAAATATTATATTATTTAATAACTTAGTTTTTTACTCTATTTAAATTCAAAATATTATATAGATATTAATTTATTCAATAACATAATTTATACCAAATTATTAATCTCAAATTTTTGTTCACTACATCATTACTCAGTTTCTTATACTCCTTTTATTTCTTTTTAGCAATCTTAATTTGATTTTTTAATGTTTTGAATATGAATTTTAGATAAAAATTCAACATATTATATAAATAATAATTAAAATTTTTTTTACAAATAAAAATACTAAACAAGAACTATATATAGTAAAAAAATAAAATAGAAATAAGTGTATTAAATAATATTCTAAAAATGAAAAATAGATAATAGAATTTAAATTTTAAACATTTCAAATTAAAAATTAGGTGTATTAAACTTAAGCAAGAAAGTAAGTAAAAAGATGTGATCATACCAATACTAGTGCACTGAATCACACTAAAACTCCATAGCTAAATGTGTTTGAGTAAGAGTAGTATTAGGATGAGTGATTTATTGGGAAGTTCTTGTATTTTACCTCCCGTCCTAATTTATCAATCAATAATTGTTTAATTGAATGGATATTCATTAATTTAAAAATTTTAATTTGGATAAAGATGAGGGTTTAAATCATTGCAACATCAACTAAATTTTGATATACTAAAAAGAAAAATAGAATGTAAGCAAAAAATGTAATTAATGTACCTTAATTTGTAATACATGTTAGAAAAATTTATAAAATATTAGCTTCTTTATTAAACCGAATAAAAAATAGAGAATTTTTTTATCTTATATCTTTAATGAACTTATTAATAATGTATTGATTATATATTTTTTTATTACCAATTATAAAAAATATGAAATTTAAATTTAATTTAAATTCAATTTTATCAATCACTTAATTAAAAATTTACACATATTATTAATGTTAAAAATAAAATTAATTTTTATATCTTTTATAAAATGAATAAGAAAAATGTGCAATGGCTACATCTTAAAAAGGTGGTTTAGATAAATCCAAGCATAAAGTTAAAAATTTTCTAATAAATGCTCTTACGGAATAAATCATTTATTACATATTTTTTTTATTAATTAATATAAAAAATAAAAAAATTATTTTATTTTTATCAATAATATCATTTAAATAATTTTAATAGAACAATTAATAAAATAATAATATATTATATTTTTTATAATAATAACTAAAAAAATTACAATAAATACACCTCATGCCTAATCTAAAGATATATATATATATATTAAAATAAAACCAAAAAAGCCCTTTTATATACACATTATCTTATTATCGTGTATCCAAGCTTGTTCATATTTTTTAAGTCTTGAACCTCATCGGAACTAGTTTGAAAACCTAAGTTCACATTATTTTTTACATTTTTTTAATTAGGATAACCTAAACCCAATTTCTTCTCCCCCACAAATGAAATCCTATTTCAGTATTTCTTCATCATCGCTACTGAAGCTCCTTCCTCGCCATAGCTACCAAAGCTCCATCCTCGCTGAAGCCCATGGCCGCCGAACCATTTCCATGCTTGAACCCACTGCCGCTGGGTGTTTTCATGCCACCTCCTTCTCCAATCTACTGTTCCCTGGCCTCTCAATTAGGAAACAAATCGAAACCCAAATCGTCTTACCAGAGTAGGAACTAGGAATTAGGAAGTGAGAACAACCTTAAACCCTCCAAAAACCTCCCTAAACTCCCTCAAATTTCAAACACCCAATCCCTTCACCAAAACACAATATCATCAAGCATTGGAAAATATGTCAATCGGTGATGTCTAGACAAAGCCACCATCAAAGCCAACAAGGAGCATCTCTGGATACGCCATCAAAGGCTTACTTCACTATTGTTTGTCGGAGATAAATCTTCACTTAATAGTTCCTCGACTGAAATCCAAAATCAGAGGCAAGGTATGTCTTTTTATGTTTGGCAGTTGAGGAATTGGTATAAAATCCTGGAATTTCCTTTTCCCATTTTATTTAGATTCAATAAAATGTCCTTTTCTCCAACACCTAAGAGAGGATGTGAAAAAAGTTAATAGTAATGTGATTTATTTGGAGGTTAGAGATATTTATGATGGTGGGGATTATTTGGTTTTGGTCACCACTGATTGGCAGAGTGCATTTTATAGGGTTATTGCTTCTATTCCATTCAAAGGCCAAGTTGGTTTTGTAGAATCTGCTGGACCCTCCGTTGAAAAGCTTAATAACGTCATTAAATCTTTTATTTCATTGGTGAAACTATTTAATAGTTTGCAGTAGTTTAAATTTTTTTAGAGGTCTAACCATCAGGTGATGGTTTTTTTGCTACTTTTTTATTAAATTCCAAATATTCATATTTATTATTGAATTTTCTCTATATAGCCTATTTATAGTCTGCTGCATTCCAATATTTATAATCTGCTGCATTCTACTATTTATTGTCTGCTGCATTTCCCAAATTTATTGCTGCAAACCAATAAAACTATTTGTTTGCCTATTCTATTATCAAATGCCTCATTTATGTCTTATATTTCCAATGTGTTGGAAATTTACATTCATCTGCTGATTTCAAATTCTGCAGACTTTTATTTTCCCAATTCTTCTTCATTATCTATTCTATAAATGTTTGTCATTTGAAAGATCTCCTTTGCATGCATATATAATGTTATACCAGTCTTCTTTTTTTTTTTAATAGTATCACGGAAAGCATACTGACCCTAATGGCTAAGAGGTTCAATTCTATCTAAGATCTTAATCCTTCTAAAGAGGAGTGGAGGATAAAGGTTAGAGTAATTAGGCTTTGGAGGCAGAAGAATTTTTGGTAGCCAAGACTGGGTGATAATATTGAACTGTTTCTTTTGGTTGAACTGGTAAGTATTTTGTGTTTTGAATTTGGCTTTCCATTAGGTATTCTAAAGTTTGTTTTTTGATATCTCTTCCTTCTAGTACTTTTACATGTTTTGTTCGGGGGGAGGATTCAAGCAACTCTTAGGGCTTCTTTGCGTTTTAAGGATGCTTTGATTGAAGGAGAAGTATATGCAATTTCAAAATTTGGTGTTTCTTTGAATGAAGATCCTTTTAAGCCAACCACCCATGCATACAAGATTGTTTTTAATCCTAGGACTGCTCATAGTTTGGTTAATGATTCCAACATTCCTTATTATGCATTTTTTTTCAGCATACAGATGAGATGAGTATGGTTAAGTGGATGAGAAACATCATGACTTCTGAAAATCCCACTCAAGCAATTGATCCAAAACTAATCAAAAATGGGTATGAAGAGCAAATGCTTTTGGTTCAGAAAATTGCTTTCTTGTGCACTTTGGACAAACCAAAGGAGAGACCTGGCAGCAAGGATGTTAGGTGTAAGCTGTCTCAGATCAAGCAGTAAGTATACGAGGAGATGTATTAGTGCCATTCAAGAATAATTATGCCTAAGAAAATTAAATAATGTGTTGAAATCTATCCTTAATTTTGTGTTTGCATGTGATCCAGCCATTGATGTGCCTGGCGGCTTTCTATTTGAATGGTGGTCTGTCTTTTGGGACATATTGATTGGACAAATGAGAAGCACTCTGAAGCTACTGCATCTTACATTGAGGTCTGTTTCAAGAATAATTACTCTGAAGCTATTGCATTCATTGGATGGTTGTTGGTCGTTTTTTTTCATGAACTCTCAAAATTTCTATAGAGTTTCATAATTGCTTTCCATCTGTAGGTGCTTAGCTGATGAGACTGTAGTCCTTCTAATTATTCATTGGTGCAAGGAAACTCTGATTGTTCGGAATATGTTCTCATGTGAACTGATTTGGATACCTTGGTAAGTAGCAACTTCTACCATCTGCTGAAAAAAAAAAAAAAAACGTTTTTGTTTGACTGGAGCCCTAAGCAATTCCATGTTGATTTAACAGAGGGCTTTCAAGTCCACTTGCATAATTTTTATTTTTTGGCAGTTTAGACAGCCTTTTCAGACCAGTTATCCTCTGCAAGTCTGATTATTGCTTAAATCTTTTAAGCCTTTTCTGCTGAGTTCCTAGTTAATAATGCTGAATTTTTTTAGGGTTCCTTCCCATATGAACCACCTCCACCAGTTGCAGCTCTGCCTCCCATTGAAAGAGATGAAACACATGCAACAATAACTTATGTCAAATTATGTTTTGATTTTGCTTTGAGCTTTGTTTTCATGCAGGAATATTGTTTTGCATAAGATATCAGTTCATTTTGCTTTGTTTTTGGCACATAACTCTTTAGTTTAATTAAGTTCATACTTGTCTTCAATAAATGTATCATTTGTGTGGTATTTATCATGGATGTGGCATAACTGCAGCGTAGCCTAATACCAAAATGTGTTTCTATGATGAAATCAACAGTTGATGCCTATTCTGGAACCACTATATAATGCTTCAAGAGGGACATGTAATCAAATATATGTGCTATTGATCATGCTTCTCATACTTAGTCAAGATTCTTCTTTTAATAGGAAAAGAAGGTTGTGGAGATGTCTACAAGGCTGAATTGCCAGGAGGCAATGGAAAGATGATTGCCATAAAGAAGACTATTCAGCCCTTAAAGGAAGCTACTGAGTTGATTGAAGAAGATAGCAAGCTTCTGAACAAGAAGATGGGACAAATTCGATTAGCAATTGCCATAGTTGGGCAAATTCGGCACAGAAATCTTCTTCCTCTTCTGGTTCATGTTGGTTGTCTTGCCAAGATGAATCCCTTGCCAAGCAGGTATTCAACCGTTGTTAGTGCCTGCTACTCATTCTTCTATGTTTTGTTTCACTACTTGTTACCAATGTTAACTGGAAAGTTATTTATTGAGGAAATTTCTGGTCTAGTACTTTATTTATATATTTATTTCTTCTTTCAATTAACATGCTTTCAAGAAAAGAATGTATTTTTTTTCTTTTCTTTTAAGACATGTGACTAAAGCTTTTTGCCATTTTACATGTTTTAGGTTGTCATTTCCTAGATGAATGGTCTAGATCATCAATTGCAATTTATCCATGTTTTTAATGGGTGAAAAATGAGAATAAAACTTTGTAGAGGATGGATCACTAAGTCTAGAGAAATCTATTCCACATCTATGCAGCTACTATCCTGGATGTTCTATACTTTTCTTGTATAGGGTCTTTTTCAAGGTTAGGGGAACCGGAAGGCTCCCCAATCCATGGTTAGTTTTGTGCAAATTTTTAAACTTTAATGAACAAGAATTCTTATATTTTATGGTTTCCTCAATATTAGCCATGTGGAATTAGAGGTGATGGCAGCACTGCATCAAAGTCATTGTCTTGGCAACCTAGGAAGGGGCTGTCATATGTATTGACATTTGAATCAGAGCAAGAAAGGAATGCAGTCATTATGATTGCGAGAAAATATGCTCTTGATTGCAACGTACTTTTTCTTTCTTTGCATATTACTGCAGTGCTTATATGCTATCATAACTTTCTAAAACTTCCTATATTATTGCAAAATTTTGATCTTTCACACGGTCTCTTCTTTGTTCTGCACAAAACGTGTGTATATATGGGAATCAGGAGCTTTGCCTGCTTAGCTCTGCAGTACTTGATGAGAAGCCTCTATTCCCTTTGCATCCCTCGAATGATGGTCGCTACTCTTCATCTCAGAGGACTGTTGTTTTGGGCATCAAGAAAGGATTCTCTGATGCAATGTATGGGTTTTCAGAGGTGAAACTACCTTCTGTTAAATGCTTTGCATTAGATTGTATTTTTTTAGAGGTTTAACTTGAAAATGGAAAATATGTGGTGCAGGCTAACTAAGAAGTATATGTGATGTTGTCACCTAGGCCATCTTCAAAATGGGGATTGAAAGCAGGTTCTGTGCTTGAAAACCTAGTTTCTCAACCAACAAAAGCAAAAAGAGTTAGCAATTCAAAATGGTTCTTAAAGGAGAATTTTCTGCTACAACAGCTTATGCTCTCTACAAGAGTATTCTTCGCTCGGAGACTAATAGATGTAAATGGATTTAGCGATCATTAACAACCCCAAATATCCAACACTTGCTATGGCTTGAATCCCACCAAAGACGTGAGTCCTTTGATTTTTCAAACAGTTAAATGTGTATGTATTGCTGACATTATAGGGATTGAATTTCCTGAAACTCAGTGATGTATATTCCTTTTTGAATTTTTTAACGTGTCTTTAAAGTACATATTAAACTTTATTAAATGCATTTTTAATTAATTTTACATGACTTTTTATACTTGATTTAATTAAAATAAAATATAAAATATAAAATTAAAATAAAATATAATATTTATATTTAAAATTTATAAAAAGATATGAATTTGATATGAAAATTTATGTAAAATTAATTATAAATTTTGTAATTAATAAATATTAATTTGTATTCTTAAAATATAGATTAAATAAAATTTTAAAATATTAAATTTTTTTTTATATTTCGTGGGGGCATTGCCAGGGGTATTAACTAGTAGACCTCTAAATGTAGATGGAAACAAAGTGAAAGTAGAAGGGTAAGGGCTTGTTTGGTACAGCGGTTAAAATTCAGCAGATAGCGGGTAGCGAATAGCGGATAGCTGTAGCGGGTAGCGGGTGGCAGTTAGTGGATGGCGGATAGCGAAAAGTGAGTAGTGGATGGTAAATAGCAGATTCGATAAATATAACTGTTTGGTTATACAATAGTTAGCAGTTGTTGTTTAACATCAAATGATTAATAAGGACATGTTTAAAAACAAA